AATCTGTGGGTTCTAACACGGGAAATCAGAGAGTACTTACTTTTCCTAGTAGGTGTGAAAGAAAAACTCTAGGTTCACCTTGAATAACATCTGGAGGGACTGAATTAACAGAGTAAAACCGAAACTTCAAAACTGTTCTTTAGAATGTTAATTTAATTTTAAAACCTTTTAAAAAGGTTTAAAGGATTCTTTTTTAATAAACTAACTAGTGGGGAAGAAATAAGCCACTTGTTTTGAGAAGTTATCAGTGGTTTCAGGACTCTGAAGTGGCAACTGGATTTTCAAAAATATTTTAAAATAATCCTCCATTTTTGACTAAGATAAGGACTATTTGCCCGCGAATGGAGACTCAACATACACAACCATGTCCTCTATTTATGTGGTTGAATATTGTTTTAAAAAGACTATCTTGACCACATGAGATCATTTTTCTCAGCAAACAAACCTAAAAAAAGCATTACACCATTACTGATTCATTTTCTGTCACTCTTATCCAACATCTCATTTGTTATAGAAAATTAAGTCGATTTTAGTAAAAAGGTATTAAAAAGAAATTCCAGTTTTATAACTTTCTAGTACTTATAATTATTATAACAATGCTGAATATTTGCAAAGGCCTGGAGTGTGAGACTCAATTTACTGAATAGGCCAGAATAAGCCAGAGAAGCAATTGCTGTGGTCTGTTTGCGTCCTCCCTCAATTCATATATTGAAATCCCAACCTCCAAAGTGATGGTATTAGGAGGTGGGCCTTTGGGAACTGATAAGTCATGAGGGTGAAGTTTTCAGAAATCAGATTAATGCCTTTATGAAAAAGACCTTAGAAAGACTCCTTTCTCTATCATTGAAGTTATAGTGAAAAGATGGCTGTTTAGGAGCCAGATAATAGGCCCTCACCAGACACCAAAACTGTTAGCACCTATATTTTGGAATAAATTTCTGTGGTTTATAAGCTCAGTTTATAATATTTTCACAGAGCAGTCTAAATGTACTAAGAAAGCAATAAATTATTATTTTTTCCCATTTATTTTATTGCATTTTAGGTTTTGGGGTACATGTGAAGAACATGCAAAATTGTTGCATAGGTACACACGTGGCAGTGTGATTTGCTGCCTTCCTCCCCATCACCTACATCTGGCATTTCTCCCCTTGCTATCAATAAATTATTTTATATGAATAGGTACTTTTAAGATAGTTTAAAATAGTTAACTCTGTTTAGTTTAGCAATAATTTATATCATTCTTTTCTTTTGAGATGATTACTGCCTGAGTACAAAAATTAATTACAAAAGTAAAACTTTTCAGATTAGTAGTATAATGATAAACTTCAGCCATGTTCTTATCTGACTTGTCAGAGATTCTCAATTTATGTGGAGAAATAGGAATGCTTTGACACTGCTGGTGGGAGTATAAATTGGTTCAACCATTGTGGAAGACAGTGTGGCCATTTCTCAAGTATCTAGAAATAGAAATACCATTTGACCCAGCAATCCCATTACTGGGTGTATACCTGAAGGATCATAAATCATTGTATTATAAAGACACATGCACACATACGTGTATTGTGGCACTGTTTACAATAGCAAATACTTGGAACCAACCCAAATGCTCATCGATAATAGACTGGATTAAAAAATGTGGCACATATACACCACAGAATACTATGCAGCCATCAAAAAGGATGAGTTCATGTCCTTTGCAGGGACATGTATGAAGCTGAAAACCATCATTCTCAGCGAGCTGACACAAGAACAGAAAACCAAACATCACATGTTCTCACTCATAAGTGGGTTTTGAACAATGAGAACACATGGACACAGGGAGGGGAACATAACACATGGAGGCCTATTGTGGGGTGGGGAGCTTGGGGAGAGATAGCAGTGGGTGGGGGGATTGGGAAGGGATTGCATTAGGAGAAATACCTAATGTAGATAACGGGGGAATGGATGCGGCAGACAACCATGGCCCATGTATAACTATGCAACCAACATGTACATTCTGCACATGTATCCCAGAATTTAAAGTATAATAAAAAAAATCATAAAAAAGAGTGAAATCTACTGTACATGTGAGGCTCTTTCCAGAACTGTTCTTTTGGCTCTCATTCTTATGGATGTGGTATGAAGTGGTGAATCCAACCTCTATATACAAGTATTTGATAAACTTGCTTAAGTGGAACTTCTAGATGTATCTGACACTTGTTCCCAACCTAATTGTTTTTTAATTACCCATAGATTATAAGGAATTTTTATATACATGTCTTATTGAAAGCTCTGGATCCTAACAAAGCAAGCACTTGCTTGGATTTGCCTCCCTGGCCTCTTTCTCCACTTGTTCCCACTCAAGCTCCTACCAAATCACATTCTGTGTAGTCTCCAAATGTTCCATTACATATGATGCCCCTCAGTCTATGCATGTGCATGCTGGGTCTTATATACCCTTCCTCCAGTGTAATTTAATAGGTGAATGCTTACTATGTCCTAGGTCCCACCTTGATATGGCCTTCTCCAGGAAGCACTCCCTGCTGAGGCTCATTTCTATCACACCTGAGATTAAGCCATTCATAGTATTTACTATACTATACTGAGTACTGGACGTTCCCGCAGGCCTAGGACAGAATCTTTTAATATTATTAGCATACTGTCTGTCACAGAGAAGTGTTCAAATACATTAGTTGAGTAAATAAATGGGTGAATGGTAGCTAAAACTTCATTTTCTCTTTAATGTGTTTTCTGTACATGATTTCTACATTTCAGTTATTTTTAATTCCCTGGGAACAGCATCTTGCAATTTTCTCCAATTTTAGATTTTCTTTAGGACTTTTGTACCTTGCTCTGCCTGATTACTCCTTCACTCATTTAACAAATATTTTTGAGTTCTGTTTATGTACAAGGTACTTTGCAAGATTTTCCAAGGAACCCCAAGATAAAGAATACTTGGATGTTGCTCACAAAGGGCTTACAGTCTAATAGAAAAGGGAAGATAAGCATAAATGTCAAAAATGGCAAGTTTAATAGAAGGGAAGTAACACATCCAATTGGAGGGATAAAGCAGGCCTTCTTGGACATGAACAAGGCCTGACAGCGTGTGCAAAGTCCGGACATCATAGCATAAAGAGAAAACACATTCCAAGCCATGAATGATGTGTGTGACAAAGAAAGAAGAAAACAACATGAAAACCACAGACAAACACCTGCTTAGACCTCAGTGTTTATGGAGAAGGGTAACAATGCTGATCGTATGTTGAAAACAGAGCCTGGCTTGGTCCAGGTAGGGGAGGGTCTTGGAAGTTACATTTTTGTAGGCATAGGGGTTTAGTAAAAGCTTCTGTGCAGAGTTGTACATCTCTCATTGGCTGACTCTTGCTTCATCTTTCTACACAACATTTCTGTACCTAACTCTTTTTTTATGTGAAACTACAGAAATACCTCTTATCCCATTCCAATTCCTTTTCCCGTTACTTTGTGACATTCTAAATAATTCTAGAAATTCCAACTTGAAGGTTGCTAGAATGGTCATCAGCAACCCATTTTCCCCCATCCTCATTAAGCTCCTTTACTCACATCAGGCTCAAAATCCCAACAATTCGTTTCTGCAGTGGTCCCTTACTGGCATCTTTTCAATACTAATTTATCTGCTACAGATTTTTTCAGTTATTTCGATAACTTTGCCATCAACATTTCCATTTCTGGAGCCATTTCCTTATCTTACAGCTCCTATATTGTTTCTTTTTTTGAAATACCCAACTCATGGCCAAACTCCCTTGAGCATCTTCTAGGATTATGGGAAGAGTATATTAAACAGAGGCCATTATTTTCCACACATGATTCTATGTACTGCAATAATAAACTATGTATGTATTACTGATCTTGCACAGGCCAAATATATAGCAGTTGGCACTCAATAAGTTTGTTGAGTGCTTAATAAACGTGTGAATGAGTAAGTGTTGGTTCATGTTGGAGTGCAGGTTCCTCAGTATCAAGGATTAGTATTTCTATTCTGTATCCTTAAGCACTTTCACTGATACAGGCACTAAATAAATTCTGATTAAATGAATGCATTAATCCCGTTAGAAAAACAATGCTGTAGAAAAATGAAGAAGTGCAAACAAGATGCAATGCAGTAAGTTTTCTCACCTCACAATATGTAGAGCATCATATATATTACTTAGGCTATTACAGAAACATATATATTCTTGAGTTCTCATTTACTGATGCCTGTAATATATGCTTTCAATAAAGTATAGCCATTGTTGATGTTTTTTAAAGCCTGACTCAAAGGCTTCACATCTTTGAACTAAACAAGAGTTCTGGGTTTTTATGACTTACACAAACAGAAGCTGAGTGTGGTTAGAGTTATCTGTGCCTAATATTTTAATTCCATTGTTCAATAATTCTCATTCCTTTGCATTAGTTTTGCTTTATTATACCCTTATAACACTCTCAAATATACCTATAAAACTTTACAGCCCTTTTCCAATGGCATATGGTGTGTGTTCTGAAGAGAAACATGTTTATGAGCTGAAAGATGGGAAGAAAATGTAAAGTGCTCTTACGGGACTCAGGGAGGGATTGCTGCCTGCCTGCATGGCAGGAACACTGCAGTATATCAGACTCTTGCAAAGTGAACGGAAGCCCTTCTATTTCAACAATGAGCAGAAGTCTGGAATTATGCTATGCCAACTTTGATGCTACTGAGGTATTTTTTGTTTTTTTGATTTTCTCCTAAACATTAAACTCAGTAGTTCCTGAAACAATATTTTAATACAGTATGCTGTAGAATAATATCAATTGAGATGAAGGGAAAGAGAGAAATGTGGAGTGAGGATGGAGGAGTGACAAAAAATACCATTTTACTGTCCTTTCCCATTGAAGCTCGCCTAAACTTTGTCCAAGCCAGAGTTTGCAACATTGTTCCTTGCAGAGCTTGTTCATAGTTGTTCTTGGAAATATGAAAATACTCATTCTAAAAGGTCCTGCTGTATTCTTTTTTTTTTTTTCTGATGTTGTCTTGATCTGTTGCCCAGTCTGGAGTAAGTGGTACGATTTTGGCTCACTGCAACGTCCACCTCCTGGGTTCAAACAATTCTCTTGCCTCAGCCTCCCAAGTATCTGGGACTATAGGCACGTGCCACCACGCCTGGCTGATTTTTTGTATGTTTTAGTAGAGACGGGGTTTCACCATGTTGGCCAGTCTGATCTTGAACTCCTAACCTCAGGTGACCTGCCCACCTCAGCTTCCCAAAGTGCTGGGATTACAGGTGTGAGCCACCATGCCCAGCCTTGCTGTATTCTTAAGATGGTCATTTGTGGAATGCTAGATTCAAATTTTCAGTTGCCTCATGTATTCCATCTTTGTCTTCCTTGTCACGATCATTGGTCTATAGTAACACAGCTGCAGAGACTAGAAATCTTTGTGTGACCTCTGACTTCTTTGTTCTTGCCCCTAGTGGGTCACCAAGCCAGTCATTTCCCTCTCCCATTTCTCTCACTCACTCTTCCCCTTCGTTTCCATCACTCTTGCCCAGGTTTCAGGCCTTGAACTTATCTCACATAGCCTATTCCAATAGTTTCTTAGTCTCTTTTAACTCTAGGCTTCCCCACTCAAATTACTCTTTAACATGCCACCATAAGATGGTGATCTCTTTTAGACAGCCTTAAATAGCCCACAAAATAAACAACAACCCCTTTATCCCTGTCTATTAAGTCCTTGGTTTGTTTGCTTATAATTAACATCTTTTTACCATCCTGACCTAGTTCAACTCTGCAGTCCCCCACCCAAGTGTCAGCAGCATTGGGTGCATGTATGGTCTTCTTTCTGCACATTCTGTGCAACCCTGAATTCTCCTGAACTTCTCCACCTTCTGAAGTATGGCTCCTCTATCAAATTGTGGCTCAAAGGCTCTTTGTATGTATTACTGAATTTCTTCATTTAGAAACAATTCTTCTTCTCTGCTTCCTGACACTACTGGCATTGCATCCAATTGTAGCATTTTTATTCTGCTTTTTCATTATACTTTGCAGTTTTAACTCCTGTTTGCACCCAGTGACTATAAACTGCATCTTCATGTCATCATCTTCAACATCTCCATTACCCATTTCACAGTGTGTTTTAAATAGACTCAGGATTATCTTTACACAGAATGTTGGTTCTACTCATGAGGATTCTCCTGGTCCATATCCTGACATTTCTAAATGCCCAGCCTTTCCTATAGATATTCTATTAAAAGGTAAAGTAAAAAGGCACTGAACTGCCTTTAAATAGCAATATAGGAAAATTTCACTGCAGGTCAGGGAGGGTACTCTCATGCTGTCTGCCACCCAGTGTTGATCAAACATAGATGTGAATATAAAATATTTAAGGAGAATGGTTTGAAGGATACATTTTTCTGAATGCTCTAAATTTTACTTCTGGTGTTCTAAATTTAAGCTAGATCTTTAGAGATCTAGTTAGCTGGACAGTCCTTTGCAAAATTCTTGCCACTGTTAAGAGTGGAAAAAAGACAGTATAAACTGCTACAGTATAAAACTTGTTGTTGCATTTGTATCAGAGATGTAGTTCTAGAACAAAACATCTCCTTTGTATGGACATATCAGACATTTCTTGAGGGATTCCTACCAGAAAGAGAAGTGCTTTGCTTTTTCCATTGGTTTAAACCTGTATTGTGGTCTATATGTGATCTATACGTGATTGCTCCACTCTTTGCATTAGTTGCAGGCAGTTCAAAGTCTTATTTTTAGCCTCCCTTTATTAGGGATATAATCCCTACTACTGATAATACTTAGCTTACTACTTATATACACATAGATACTAACTCCATTCTGTGCCCATTTTATTTTTTTCACTCTAATTCCTACCATCTGATCTTTCTTTCTTTCTCTCTTTTCTTATCTTTCTCTCTCTCTCTCTCCCTCTCTCCCTTCCTTCCTCCCTTCCTCTGTCTATCATCTACCTATCTAACTTCTACATGCCCGCTTATTACTTATTGAAAACCATTATGACAAGCTTTAAGAATGAACAGTGTTTTGGAATAAATGAATACACTAGTAAGTTCTATTTCCTATAAAGTACCTAAGGCAGTACTTTACACATAGAAGACACTCTTTCCTGATTGTATTCCCAAAATTTCAAAGCACTAAAATATACCCCCAAAAAGGAAGGCTACAGGTCCGATGTAATTAGTCACTTGAAATAACCTAAATTGGCTTTTGGTCAAAGTTGAACACAATAATACGGTACTCATCCTTATTGGCTTTCATCTATTCTTAGTGAGTCATATTTCATAACTTTAGGCAAAACAAGTGAGGTAATATGTGCAGTATGTTTCCCTGCAATAATCCTCATACAGAATATCTTGAAGAGAATGGTACTTTTCATGCATGTAATAACACCCAGGCACCACTATATCAGCTAACTTTGCTAGATAGCAGTCACAAAAAGGGCATTAATATCTCTCTTACCTCCACCTGAGAAAGGTTAGTGCTATGGGATGTGCACAACAGGAAGGTCAAAGAGCATGGATTGCTGGTCCCTGCTATATGTCAGAGCAAGACAACTGAAATACACTGAGAAGGTCAAGAGCACTGAGAAGCTGAAGAGACAACTATTTGTGTGTGTGTGGATGTTTATAGGATCTGAAGAAACCTGAGCACAAATGTCAGTCTTCATGACCTGATCATATATGACTCAATACAGAGGTGAAATCAAGGTGCTCCTACTGAGGAGTTCAAAGTAGAGACTCCTGAAGAATGGGACTGCAGTACACCAGGTCCTAACAGGCATCCAGGTCCTAACAGGAATGAAATCCATGAACAAAACTAGCAATGAAGAAAGATCATTCAAAATGGAATAATTTTAGTTTCTAGGGTTACCTTTTTTTGCATTTTTTACATAACAAAAACTATTTTGTCACTTTTTTTTTTTTTTTTTTTTTTTTTTTTTTTTTTTTTTTTTTTTT